CGTTCCTCGGGACCAAAACAAACAGTGTCTTATCATCCATGCTCTTCCCTGTTTATTTGTCCATTTGGCGCCTTTTCAATCTCTCGCCGATGAAGGGATTGCCTCCGGAGGGCGCCGCTCGCGGGGCGGCAGGACGCTCTCTGTCCGCCGCCCGTCCGGTCAAGAGTCTTTAACCAGCTATGGAAGGCGACGATCCCGGCTATCCGATTGGCTGGATTTACCATTTCCCAACGAATCACGACGAAGAAAATTAGCGCCCTCCAATTGGTGATCCCACGCGTGTGCGGCAATCATAGTGGCGGTGAATTTCCGCTTCGTTCAGCCGGCGTGATTCTTATATGCTGGGTCGTTTTAGAACTTTGAACAGGTGCTGAGCGCCATCGCCCGCGCCGGATGCGGATGTCGTTTCATCCAAAGCCATCCGTCAACCAGCAACGATGTTCTTGCCACGAAAGATGAAAAACGGTTTGAACGCAATACAAATATTTACGGAGATGGAATGCTTGCTGCTTGACAATCGACAAGCTGACGACCCGTGACACTAAATCCAGAAGAGATACAACGCTTTCCAGGCAGCGACTCTGCGACCCTAGCGGCGCTTTCTCCCTCCTTCCGCGCCGTGAAGAAATGCGCGAAGGGATCCCGGTTGCAGCTCCAGTTTATCGAGAGCTTTCGCGTCCAAAAGAGCAAATGTGGCTGGCGACATCGCTCCGAATAGGCCAACATGATGGCCCCTTTCCTTCTCGTGCTCTCCTCATCTTTCTCAACAAGGCCACTTTGCTCTCCTCTCCTCTACTCCGCTCTTCACGTTATGCTCTCATCTCCCCTCTACACAGTGCCACTTTGCTCTCATCTCTCTACATTGCCACTTCTCTCTCCCCTGCTCTCTCGAAAGGGCCACCTCGTTCTCCTTCTCCTCCCCTCTCTCCTCAGGGCCACTTTGCTATCCTCTCCTCTCTCTCCACTGGGCCACTTTGTTCTCATCTCTCTACAGTACCACTTCTCTCTCCTCTGCTCTTTGCTCTTCTCTCTTCTCTACAAATGACACTTTGCTCCCCTCTCTTCTCTCCAAAGTGCCACTTTGTTTTCATCTCTTCTACAATGCCCCCTTTCTCTCTCCTGCTCTCTCTAAAGGGCCACCATACTCTCCTCTCCTCTCTCCACGGTGCCACTTCTCTCGCCTCCTTTCTCTCCACAGTGCCGCTTTGCCCTATTCTCTTTTCTCCACAGTGCCATTTTGCTTTCTTCTCCTCTCTCCATAGTGCCACTTCTCTCCCCTCTCTTCTCCACAGGGCCACTTTTCTCTCCTCTGCTCTCTCCAAAGGGCCACTTCGCTCTCCTCTCCTCTCTCCACAGTGCCACTTCCCTTCCCTCTTCTTTCTCCACAGGGCCATTTTTCTCACCTCTCCTCTCTCCGTAGTGCCACTTTCCTCTATTCTCTCCACAGTGCAACTTCTCTCCCTCCTCTGCTCTCTCCAAAGGGCCACTTTGCTCCCCTCTCCTTTCTCGACAGTGCCACTTGGCTCTCCTCTTTTCTCTCAAAAGGGCCACTTCTCTCTTCTCATTTTTCTCCACAATGCCACTTTGCTCTCCTCTCCTATCCCCACGCATCCCCTCCCCCTCCTCTTCTGCCCCTCACTTGCTCACTTGGTCCTCCCTGCCCCTCCCCCCCTCCCCCCTCCCCCAGCCACGATTATTCATGGGATTGGATGTCGTCCTCTTGGTTGCCTCTCCTCTTGCTGCCCTTCTTCTGCACACGAACTCACTCTCTCACTCACTCTCTCTCTCTCTCTCTCTCTCTCTCTCTCTCTCTCTCTCTCTCTCTCTCTCTCTCTCTCTCTCTCTCTCTCTCTCTCTCTCTCTCTCTCTCTCTCTCTCTCTCTCTCTCTCTCTCTCTCTCTCTCTCTCTCTCTCTCTCTCTCTCTCTCTCTCTCTCTCTCTCTCTCTCTCTCTCTCTCTCTCTCTCTCTCTCTCTCTCTCTCTCTCTCTCTCTCCTCTCTCTCTCTCTCTCTCATCTCTCTCTCTCTCCTTCTCTCTCTCTCTCTCTCTCCTCTTCTCTTCTCTCCTCTCTCTTCTCTCTCTCTCTCTCTCTCTCTCTCTCTCTCTCTCTCTCTCTGGCTCTCTCTCTGGCTCTCTCTCTGGCTCTCTCTCTCTGGCTCTCTCTCCTCTCTCTCTGCTCTCTCTCTCGCTCTCTCTCTCGCTCTTCTATGTTTGTTTCTTTATATTTATCTTTTATTCCTCGTCTCATCAGACGACATCCCCCTTTTCTCACTGCATCCCAAAATTCTTCTTTTCTCCGCCTCCCTCTCGTTCTCTCCGCCTCCCTCTCCTCCTCTCCGCCTCCGTCTCGTTTTCCTCTCCGCCGCGAGAAGCCGTTTCCAGGCAGGGGAGGGGGGGGGTGCCGCGATTAACTTGTCACTTTTCCTTATCAGGGAAGATAAGGACGAATGGGATGGATTACGGAGATTTTTTCTCCATTTTCCCCCTCTGCTTTTCATCCCAGCATAAGATATATACCATTCTTTGGTCAGAATTAGTCATTCTTACCTGGTCCTGTATTGATCACCCGGGATAACTGCATGAATGTATCTTCTAGTACAGGGCGTAGGCTCAGGTGAAATAATCGTGTCCTCTTTGTATCCCACGCCGGAGGTGCCTGAGGGAGGGCGTCGCCTGGCACCCTTGAGGCCCGGTGTCACGTGTTTCCTCGTCGTCCCGTCCCGACGCCTGCCCTTGGCCTCTTCCTCTGGCTGCCCGAGAGAACCGGACTCAGAACTTCAAGCTCGTGGACGGAACCTACGCTGGCTTCTTCCGGCCGGTTTGTTAAAATTGTGCGAGGCCCGACCCAAAGAATATTCGTATACTTGACATGTATAAATAACGAAATAAATGCATATCTATTAGTCTAAACGTGCATATCAGCCGGGCAAATAGAGAGATAAATGTATATCTATCGGGTATATAGACGGATATGCACTTATTTCTGTATATAAGCGTCTGTATTTACGAATATTCATTGGGTCGGGTCTCGCACAATTTTAACAAACCGGCCGATAGTGTCTAATGTGAATCATGAAAAGGTTTTCTTTTGAAAGCTGGTCATGATATTTAATGCCGCAATCTTCATGTCTGAATTCACATCCTGCCGAAATGCAATTTGTAGAGATTGGGCTAAGGTTAGTTGATTTTAACCTAAGGTTGAAAAAGCAATGTCGTCTTCTTCTTCTTCTTTCTTTTTTATCCTCTTGCTTCCTCCGTCTTCCCCTACTCTCTCCTCTCTTCTTCTTCTCTTTCTTTCTTTTTATCCGTCCTCTTGGCTGACTTTCATTTAGCCGTCGCCGCTGCGCTTCGTTTTTATAGAAGGAAGAAGAAAAGGAAATACAAGAATATCTGGTCAAAGAAGTGGCTTCTAAAAAGAGAACAGTTGCCTCATTTAAACTTACTGGAATAATACATTAAAAACACGAGAATAAAAAAGCAAGTCGTAGATAATGAACTGAATATAATATAAAATCATCTGTAATTCAATAACGCCATATACTTTAATAGATAAGTCTGAAATAATTCCATTAATAAAAAGTCATATACAATAAATGAAGGTAAGACATTGTATCAAAGATTTATGTGTAGACCGTGGATTTTGGTGGGAACTGATAAACATTTGAATTTCCCTCCACACGCAACGGCTTAATTTCAAAATCAAAATTACCCACTGAGGGTGTGTATTCTGCCTGAGGATACTTCATACTAAAGGATTTGATTTTAAGTTAACTTTCTCAGAGGTACTGAAATTGGAAGAAGATTGTGGCCGTGTAACGATAAAGGCAATATATAACCGCGTTTTACCACAATACACCGTCCATTGCCAGGTAAATAGTACCTATTTCCGCACACATGCGCGCAAATCTCTCTCTCTCTCTCTCTTTCTCTCTCTCTCTCTCTCTCTCTCTCTCTCTCTCTCTCTCTCTCTCTCTCTCTCTCTCTCTCTCTCTCTCTCTCTCTCTCTCTCTCTCTCTCTCTCTCTCTCTCTCTCTCTCTCTCTCTCTCTCTCTCGCTCTCTCTCTCTCTCTCTCTCTCTCTCTCTCTCTTCTCTCTCTATACATACATAATATATATATATATATATATATATTATATATATATATATATATATATATATATATATAATATATATATATATATATATATATATATATATATATATATATATATATATATATATATATATATACATATATATATATATATATATATATATATATATATTATATAATATATATAATATATATATATATATATATGTGTTGTGTGTGTGTGTGTGTGTGAGTGTGTGTGTGTGTGTGTGTGTGTGTGTGTGTGTATGAACGGGAAGGACGCTCGTTACTGCCGTCTGATGCCAGTCCAACTTCGAGAGGAGGCCGAGACCAAAGGCCGGATCGGAGAGTTTACCCTCGAAAAAATCGGGTATACTAGCTGTCGAATATATATATATATATATATATATATATATATATATATATATATATATATATATATATATATATATATATTATATATATATATATATATATATATATATATATATAATATATATATACATATGTGTGTGTGTGTGTGTGTATAAGGGAGAAAATTGTAATTTGTAGATCTCCATGTTTCTTGGATTAGCAAATGCACTCACTCCTTCTCTCTCATCATCATATTTCAGGAGACAACTAGTGATACCCCGTAAACTCTCCGATCCGGCCTTTGGTCTCGGCCTCCTCTCGAAGCTGGACGCATCAGACGGCAGTAACGAGCGCGTCCTTCCCGTTCTCTGTGCTTCCCGTCCTTACCTTGCGAGCTTCCTTCCTTCCCCTTCAGGCTCCCCGGCGCTGTCTCCATCTCATCACCTCCGCGGCTGCCGTCTGGCCATGAAAGTCTCCCGCGTCGTCTCCCGCCCTCGTCTCCAGCCGCGTGCTCTGCGGCCGCCCTGAATAATTCAATGATGGCTCCGTCATTCAGCGCTCAATACCCGCCTCCTTCGCGCCGCCTCCCGCGCCCTCGCTCAGACCCGCCCCTGGGGCCCGTGACTGCGGCTGAGACCCGCCCCTGGGGCCCGTGATTCCTGCCGAAACCCACCCCTGGAGCCCGTGACTGCGGCTGAGATCCGCTCTTGGGGCCCGTGACCCGGCCGAGATCCGTCCCATGGACCCGTGACCCCGGCCGAGACTCGCCCCTGGGGACCGTGGCCCGGCCGAGATCCGCCCTTGGGGCCCGTGACCCGGCCGAGATCCGTCCCATGGACCCGTGACCCCGACCGAGACTCGCCCCTGGGACCGTGACTCGCCCTGGGGACCGTGACCGGCCGAGACCCCCTCGCCCCTGGGGTTGACCCCCCGACCCGGCCGAGATCCGCTCTTGGGGCCCGTGACCCGGCCGATCCGTCCCATGGACCCGTGACCCCGGCCGAGACTCGCCCCTGGGGAGATCCGCCCTTGGGGCCCGTGACCCCGGCCGAGATCCGTCCCATGGACCCGTGGACCCGTGACCCGGCCGAGACTCGCCCCCGTGACCCCGGCCGAGACTCGCCCCTGGGGACCGTGACCCGGCCGAGACTCGCCCCTGGGGCCCCCCGTCCGCCCTGGGGCCCGTGACCCGGCCGAGATCCGCTCTTGGGGCCCGTGACCCGGCCGAGACTCGCCCCTGGGGCCCGTGACCCGGCCGAGATCCGCCCCTGGGGACCATGACCCGGCCGAGATCCGTCCCATGGACCCGTGACCCCGCCCCCTGCTCCGTGACGCTTGCCAAGAATTGTCACTATTGTTGCTTTGTCATAGATAAAATGGTAATAACAATACTGATAAAAATAATAATGAATGGGATGTTTGTGACAAGAACATGAATGATATTGATAATGATAATGATATAAATGACAGTAAAAATGCAGTAACGGTTATGATGATAGTGACAATTATAATATTGATATTTAGAATAATCATTTCATGAGAAATTATAATAGTAGTAGTAGTAGTAGTAGCAGCAGCAGTAGTAGTAGCAGTAGTAGTAGTAGTAGTAGCAGTAGTAGTATTAGTAGCAGCAGTAGTAGTAGTACGAGCAGTAATAGTAGTAGTGGTAGTGGTAGTGGTGGTAGTAATGTTACTACCAATAAAGATGATATGATCACATTGCTGTTAACTGTGATACAGGATATTTTTTGCAATGGTGATACACTGACAATGTTGAGAATGATAATGGTTATCCTATCCTGAATGAAATTAACAGTGATGACAATGAATGGAAACAGAAATGGGTTAGTATGTCACCGGATCAATAGATGCGCAGATGGCTCACAAGCTAAGCAAATAGATGTTGTATCCTGTTCAGTCTGTCACTCCTGTTATTTATGCTAAATCATTCGAAGGCTGGATGTCCGTTTCTCCGCCAAATCGTGTGGAATGCATGTAAAAGTCACTTATTGGACACGAAATCTGCCACATGTTGGCGAGTAAAGGGTAGCCCGTGGCAGGTCCCACATCCATATTTCAGGCGCGGCAAACATCAGGAATCGGGTCCGCTTCCTCGTGATAAATCTCCTGTGTTTCGGGCGCCCAGCAGCTGCTCCTCCGTCCGCCGTCGCAGCACTCCAGGCAGGAACGCCTGTGCTGATTCCTGTCACATCGATGTTTTTTCCCTCATATTCACGGTAATGCAGTCGCTGGCATCTGGTAAGCATTTATTCCCTTATGATTGTAATCGGTTATCGGAAGCTTCACTATTAGTTTCTTCGCATTATTAGCATTCCTTCGAGCAGAGAAAGGCCCTTTCCGCTGTCGTTTTGAAGGGCGTCTGAATCATCGGCAGTCCAAAGCCGCTTCCCCCAAGTTGTCATATTACGCCGCCGTCGCCTTTGGACAAAGCCTTTGATCTGCAGTCATTAAACCGAGAAGTCCTCAAGCTCGTCCAACTAAATCCTTCCAAAGCCTCAGATTAAATCCAAAATATCTCCGCAGCGACGCTTCAGAGCGACTCCCAAATGGAACGCCCGGCCGAGCGGTCGGGCGAGGGCGTGGAGGCCCTGGCCCGCCGCCCGACACCGGCCACCCACGAGCACGCCCATCGCTGCCTTGGATATATATATATATATATATATATATATATATATATATATAATATATATATATATATAATATATATATATATATATATATTATAATATATATATATATATATATATATATATATATATATATATATATATATATCTACACACACACACACACACACACACACACATATATATATATATATATATATATATAATATATATATATATATATACATATATATATATATATATATATATATATATATATATATATATATATAATATATATATATATATATATATATATATTATATATTATATATATATATATACATATATATATATATATATATATATATATATATATATATATATATATAATATATATATATGTATATTATAGAGAGAGAGATATTGTGTGTGATGTGGAATACACAACACACACACACCACACACATTTGTTATATATATATATAATATATATATATATATATATATATATATATATATATATATATATATATACATATATATACATATAATATATATATATATAATATATATATATATATATATATATATATATGTACATATATGTATATCATGTATGTATGTTTACACACACATATATGCACACACACACACACACACACACACACACACACACACACACACACACACACACACACACACACACACACACACACATATATATATATATATATATATATATATATTATATATATATATATATATATATATATATATATAATGTAGAAAATGTATGAATGGACTGGATATCTTCACAATACAAGAGATTGTTGGGGTTTGTTATGTCTTTGTCAGTCATGTATCTGACGAAGAATGTGTGTATTGTGTGATATCCAGTTCATTCATACCTTTTCTACATTTGTCAATATGGATACGGTGTATTATGTGTGTGTGGTGTGTGTGTACATGTGTTGTGTGTGTGTGGTGTGTGGTGTGTATATATATATATATATATATATATAATATATATATATATATAATATATAATATATATATATATATATAATATATATATATATATATATATATATATATATATATATAATCACACACACACACACACGTGTTGTGCCCCTTCCCGCGGCCACAACACCAGGAGCGCACCCCCGAGGTCGTCCTCCCTCCGGCCCCCCCAGCACGCGCCATCCCCCCCCCCCCCCCGAGGCAAATCGCTTCCCTCCTCCAAGCGCGAGAATCATAATGATGTATTCCTCGATTCCCCAGATGGAGAGCTCGCAGGTGGATGATCCCGAAGCAGGTGGTTGCGACGTCTCCACAAGTTGCAGACGGAATGTAGAATTAGGGACGTCAGGGGCGCGGGGGGGGTGGGAGGGGGGGAGGTGCAGGCAGCTCAGAGAGTTCGCCGTCATGATTTCCTTTTCAGTTTGGTTCCAAAATATGCTTTATTTGGATGACATTGTGTCTGTCTCTATTCGCCATAACGGGCTGTGTGTTAAAGTACTATTCTGGTTATGAACAGATACAAACATGTGAAGATTTCTGTTTGAAGATTCACATATCCTTCGAATACTTCCCAATCCATGCGCTGAATCGTGCCTGAAATAATGGCCGTTGTAGCTCAGGATTACAACCGCAGGAGGCGCTAATCCAAGAAGGTCGGATCTGAAGTCCAAGAAAAGATGAGGACTCCCTTGAAGGCCCGCGATTTCCGGCGCTCGGCCAGCGGTCTCTGTTGATCTGCGAAATTCCCCTCAATCAGAGAAACTACCCGCTCTGTCGTGTAAGTGGGCGTGTCTGCGTGTGTGTCTGTGAGTGCGTGCGAGGGAGCGGGGGGCCGATCGAGAGAGAATTGATACGTCAGTGTTTCCTTTGATTAAGACGCGCGTTTTAAGCAGCCGCCACATGACAATTGTCACGCAGCCAGCGGCGACTAATCAAACGGATGTCAAGGCCGTCAATATCCCTACGATGTTGAGCAAATGAATAACACAGAATTTCGTGCCGCCCTCTTCCTCCAGGCAGATCCTGAGTCGCCATCGCGCCCGTACGCCACTCCTCGCCGGTGTCACACCCGTCAAGTCATCAGCCCTTCTTCCTCTCTTTCTCCCTCTCCTCCTCTCCTCTCCTCCCCTCTCCTTTCTCTCCCTTTCCTCCCTCTTCCTCCCCACCGCCCCCCGCAGGCCCTCCTGGCGTGGGCGTCGCATCTATTATTTCATTGGCGACGAAAACCTATAATTACTCGGGGCTCTTTACGGGCGGCGGGCTGGGTGATCTATTACGGCGCCGGATGACGTATGGGCTTCCGGCGGTGGGGGGAGGGGAGGTTTTGGGGAGCAGCCAGGGCGGATCAAGAAAAACATTTCAGGGCGATGTTTTCGGGGAAGGTCAGGCGAAGGAATCGTAGATGAAGATAATGATGATAATAATGATGATAATAAAAATGATGATGATGGTGATAGGGGTGGTAAGAATATCAATAATGGAAATAAGGATTATAGTAATCATAACAATGATAATTAAAATATTGACGATAATGAAGCAAATGGAAATGATGATGATAACACTAATGATATCAATTATTGTGATAATGATAACATAGAGATGGTATTAATAACCAGTAACAATGATATTAATAACGATAATAATGATGATAATGATAATGCTAAAGGTAATGACAGTAATTATGAGAATCAAAGATAATGATGATAATGATAATAATAATGAATATATTGACAAAAATAATGACAGTAATAATAGCGATGATAATTACAACAATAGTAATCAGTAGTATTATGATCATTATTATCACAAGTATTATCATTATCATTATCTTCATCATCATCATCATTATCATTGTTATTATTACTATTATCATTATCATCATCATCATTATCACTATTATTATCATCATTCTTTTCATCATTATCATTATTGTTGTTGTTATTACTATTATGATTATTATTGCCATTATGGCAATGAGAGTAATAATGAATATGATAATGATAATAATGATATTGATAATAATAACACAAATGGTAATAATAGCAATAATATTAATAGTAATAATAATGTTAAGTTTGATAATAATAATAGTTATAATGATAATGGCAAGAACAATGATGAAATATAACAGCAAAGTTAAGATGATAATGACTATAACAATAACTATTACAATAACTATACATATATAATAATAACAACAATAATAATGATAATACTAATAGTAATGATGGTAATGATAATAATTATGATAACAATAATTTTCACAATTGTGTTGATGATGATTCTAATAATAGTAATGATAATGATGACAAAAAGAATAATGGTAATGATGAAAATAGTGATTATTATTTTTATTATTATCATGATAATAATTGTTATCATTATCAATTATGATATCATTATTATTCGTATAGTCATTCTTACCATTGTTATTTTCGTTATTATCAGTTAGTATCATCATTATCATTATTATTATCATTAAAATCATTATCATTATCATCCCTATTATTATGACTATTACTATTTTACTATTTTTTATCATTAATCATTTTTCTAACACTGTATTGTTAATTATTACTACTATTACTATTATATTATTATTATTATCATTGTTATTGTCATTATTATTATTAATCATTATTATTGTTG